CCAAGGCCCCGAAGAGTCACCGAAACGTAGCGAGGGCACAGTACAACCGTTGAGTGGGGATCATGGTAGAGAGAACAGTGATAAGACATGGTGGGATCTTGTGGAACATGAACAGAATCGAGACGCGAGTGCAAATATTAAACTTAGATTTCGAAAAGGGAAAGATGAAACTAAGATAGTGTCAAGTGAGATAATGATGGATAAAGAGTAATTTGGTTTCTCTCAAAATTACATTCGGAAAGCCTATTAATTTTAATTGTCCTACTTTGAACATTAATGGGCTCAATTGTAGAAATAAACAGTTGCAGCTGTTATCATTGTTTAAATATCATAATTTGGATGTACTTTTAGTGCAAGAACACAATGTTCAAGATGTTAAGAAACTTGATGTGCTGCTTGATTTCTTTGAAATATTGATAAATCCAACGACTTTGTTGAAAGGTGGTACGATGATATTGATTGCTAAGCGAGCCCACATCAAGGTTCTTAATTAATACTGAAATGGATGATAATGGTAATGTTTTATATGCGAGGATTTCCTTTTTTGACACAATAATTCCTGTACTTAATGTGTATGCTCCCTCTGGCACCCGCAGGAAGAAAGAGAGGGAGGACTTGTTCTCTAACGAGTTATTATATTTTTTCAGAAATGATACGCGTAACGTTATTTTTGGTGGCGACTTTAATTGTGTCACTTCTATGAGAGATTGTAGCATTCAGTCGAACGCATGCATATCTCCTGCTTTAATTACACTTTTGAAATGTATTGGTCTCAATGATGCAAATAGCATTAACGGAGGTGTATATGAATATACATATGTTCGCCAGAATTATGGTTCTAGGCTTGACAGAATATATATGCACTCGTTCCATGATAAAATTAGTTCTTGCAGCACTGTTCCGGTCAGCTTTTCAGATCACTGTATGGTTGTGGTGAAGCTTGTTATTGAAGATCAGGTTAAAGTGGGGACAGGATCATGGAAGCTCAATTGCAGTCTGTTGCAGAGTAGAGATGTAATTGATAATTTTCAAGTATTGTGGGAACATCTGGTTGGGCAAAAACATAAGTTCAGATGTCTGTTGGAGTGGTGGGACATGTGTAAAGTTGCATGCAAAAGTTTCTTTGTGAAAGTGTCCAAAAGAAAGGCTGCTGAAAAATATGGTCTGTTAAACTTATTCCAACACAGACTAAAACAACTTTATGTAAAGGTCAATATGGGATTAGACAAGTATGAAGAAATTACCATTTTAAAAGACAGAATTAACAAATTGAGGGATGAAATATCTGAAGGAGTCAATGTTCGCCTCCAGATTAATGATAGGATGTATGGTGAAAAACTCTCTCCTTATTTGTTAAGTAAAGTCAAGAATAACAAGGGTACAGCACTTGTGACTAGTATTAAAGCAGGTGATGGGACGGATATGACAAATACGGATGGGATTGCATGTTATGTTCGAGGTGAATTAGAGAAATTGTACAAAAAAGTGAACGTGGACCAAGGTATGCGGGAGTATTTCCTTGGAAAATGTCCACGGGTTTTAACCCAGGATGACAACACGTCATTATTGGCAGATGTAGATAAGCAGGAGGTGTGGAGTGTGGTCAGGAGTTTAAAGAAAGGTAAATCACTTGGCTGTGATGGGTTCCCGGCGGAATTTTATTTCTATCTATGGGATGTCATTGGTAAAGACTTTGTACAAGTGGTGCAGTATAGCATACAGTACAGGAAGCTTAGCATATCGCAATCTCATGGGATTATTAAGATGATACCTAAAACGGGTGATTTGCATATTCTAACGAACTGGAGGCCACTTTCCCTACTAAACCAGGATTATAAAATAGTATCGAAACTGTTGGCAAATAGACTTAGGATTGGAATGGATAAAATTATATCAAAGGAACAGTTTTGTGGTGTGCCTGGAAGATCTATAATCAATTGTAATAATGTAATTAGGGATGTTGTGTATTATGTGTCTGAGAATAATGTTCCTTCCTCCATGATAAACCTTGACTGGTCGAAAGTCTTTGACCGTGTTGATGTTCAGTTTGCATTAAAAATATTGGATAGGGTAGGAGTGACACAAGAATTTATTGATTGGATCCGTATGCTTTATAAAGAGTGTCGGAGCAGCGTCTGTATCAATGGAGTCTTAAGTAAACCTTTTTCAGTTGAACGATCTGTACGTCAGGGATGTCCCCTTTCAATGATTTTGTATGTTATATTTCAAGAGCCACTGTACTTGGCAATAAAATGCAAGGACTTTATTGTTCCACCTCGTCTTCCTAATGCTATGACACTTCCTGTTGTTGGTTATGCAGACGATACAACTATTTTTGTGTCGACAGAAGACTCGGTGGTGAATGTTCAGAATGAGTTAGACAACTCTGAACGAGCGACAGGTGCTGTTATTAACAAGAACAAAACGTGTATGATGGGGCTTGGCAGTTGGTGTAATAAGGTTAACTGGACAGGTTCATGGTTCAAGGTAGTGGAGTCTATTAAAGCTCTTTGGGATTTGCTGGTGTAAAACATATCAAACAACATTGGTTACGAATTGGCAAGTACTATGTGGAAATATAATAGTTGCAACGAACATGTTGTCAAATAGGACATTGACCCTGTTTCAGAAGGCTGTAATAATTAATTGCAAAATTTTGTCTAAAGTGTGGTATTTGTCTCACAGCTTTCCCATATACAAGAAAAGTGCTATAGAGATTGACAAAACTATTTTTAGATATGTATGGTATGGTAGATACCAACCAATTAAACGAACTACCCTATGTAAAGGTAAGAAAAACGGTGGAAGAGGAATACTGAATGTGTACCATAAGTCATTGGCAATCTTATGTGTTACCTTTAGAAAGGAGATAAGGCAGAGGAATAGTGTAAATGCACTAGGACATTACTATTGTAAATTACGTGTAAGCTACTTGATACATATGCCAGAGTATACTGACCTTGCCTTTATTTCACCGCACTTTTATTCATGTGCAATTGATGTTCTCAGGCAGATTTGTAATATTGAAGGTTTTTTAATGATGAACAGTAAACAAGTGTATGATGTTATACTACCAAATATAGTTCCTAGAGTAGAGGAGGCATATCCACTCTTTAGCTGGCAAGTAATATGGGCAAACCTTCATGTTAAATTTATTGCCCCAAAACAACGTGAGTTATTGTATCGCTATATTCATGAGACCCTCCCTACTAATGATAGGTTGTTGATGTTGGGCATTAAGGACAACAATAGGTGTGACCAATGTACTGAAATTGAAAATAATATGCATATATTTTATTTCTGTAAGCAGAAAGTTGTTCTTGTAAACTGGATTAGAGACACTCTTAAAGCTTTATGTGGACCAAGTATTAGAATAGAGTTAATGAGGTTTTTAATGTTTCATATTGACATAAAATGCAAGAAAATTAGGAATACAATAATTATGTTACTTTCTGATTACATTTTTTGTGTGTGGATAGGCAGGCTGGAAGGTTACTCAGTAGACAAAATATTGAAGTTCTTGCGAGGCAGGATCAGGTATAACATCTGGGGTTTACGGCTCATGCTCGGTGATGATATGGAAAATTTGTTTACTTATAAAATATGTGTAAATGTAATAATTTCCCCTGTATTTTGATGGAAATTTATTCTCCAATTTTTGGTAAATAAGTATATCATTCAGTTTTTTTTAATTATCTTGTTCTGTACTACTGAAACAGATGTTCACTAAGAATTGTAATGTATAATTGCCTTGTAACACTTTTGTATATGTAATTTATATTGTATTTTTTTAAATAAAGATAAAAAAAAAATATCAGTCTTACAGGTCTAACCGCTGTCTTCATTTCTTTTCTTTTTTTTCGGGGGGGGGGGGGTGATCATGTGTTAATGCTTTAACACCTGATCACCCCAGTCACAACTGTGTTGATTTTTGTATAGCTCACTGACAAATACAATCAACATATTCCAGTATAAAACTATAATATATACGTTCTATGCTGTTATTTTGACTTTTTCTTTAATTAATGTTCTGTAATTTTTAATGTAATCTTACCCTAATTATAAATGTGGTCATTTATATATATATTATTAAATCTTTACACTTGATTGATTTGGATATTATTCTGCAGCTTTGTGTTGCCCTTGTTAGGGGCTCAATTGGATTATGCAGTTGCGTTATGGTCTCCGTATTATAGGATGGACATAACTTCCCATAAACGCTGACATAAATGGAAGGAAAAGTTCATCCAATAAATAGAAACCTTTCTTAAGGAGACATTAAAACAATTTAATTTACATTCTTTTGAAAGACGAGGAGGAAGGATTACACGACAGAAATATTTACAGGATTTATTGGGTATAACAAAGAAATGTAAATAAAATTTAAAAAATATCTGAATATAATCGAACAAGGAACAATGGATAAATTTAGATTGAAGAAACTTCTGATTAAATACTGAATTTTAAATTAAATTGTTGGGTTATGGAACACATTATAAGGTAATGTAACATGATTAATGTGGGATCGCTGGATTGCAAACAGTAAGTCATAAAAATGTAGCTGAAAATTAGTCACCCAACCCACAGATGTAAAAATAAAGGAATAAACGACGTTTCGGTCCGTCCTGGACCGTCATCACGTCGACTAATAATGGTTACACGACTTGATAATGGTCCAGGTCAGCCCGAAACGTCGTCTCTTCCATTATTTTCATATTTGAAGAGTTGTGTGGCTAAATATTGTTCGATAATTTCCAGCGCAGGTTTGACATCATGAATGATTATTGGTGGATATAAATAGAAGTTGCCGCGTATAGGCTTATAAGCTTTCTGCTATTTCACTTCTTCATATTTTTTACGTTCCACTGTTTTTCTGATAATAAACATGGCCTTTGACTTAATACCATTACAGGATGCTGAGTGAGTGTCCATAAGTAAAACAAGACTGTTTAACCTACTTTTTTTAAATTATATATGTGGAGAAACATTTATTGAAGGAAAGAACTTAATAGCATTAATATCTTCCAGAGACAACCTTCAGACGATCATCTCTTCATATTTATTCCAATCGAGTAGAGAAGCGCCAAGATGGTCAATGGATTAAGCATGTTGATGCTGGCCAAGAACTCTGTTCTTCCTAGAATCTGTCGGACATATTCTCCATGTTATGCCATCCCTCGGGCCCCCTCCTCCTTGTCAAGGATGCGAGAAGTGGCCTGCCGTGGCGTGTCTTCCGTAGCCGGAGTAGCACTTAAGTTAGACTCTGGGATCTCTCACCCACGACCTCATTCCGAGATCCCGGGCCCTATGGCATGGCCAATTTTGGGCACCATGCCTTCCATGTTTACTGACCCAGGTGAGAATGTCAGCGATATTCGGTTCTTTCCAGTCATAATTGAAATGCATGGTAACATTACTTTCATTTTGCACTATAAAACCATTGTTTTAGCTAGGATTTTCTCTATTAATGTTTATGATTTTTGTGTGTACAGTATATGATTCCACACGGATGCCGCGACTCTGGGAATCTTACTTCAAGAAATACGGCAGAATCTTTAAGTTAAACCTCCTGGGGCAGGGGGATGTAATCTTCGTGTCTGATCCTGTAGATATTGAACATATCTATAAGGAGACGTTTGAGAACCCTATCAGACCATTCTTCGAATCTCTGAAGAAAATTCGCATGAACAACAAGAAGAAATATTTTAAGGAAAATGAAACTGGAATCTTCACAGAGTATGTAACTCACCAACTGGTGTCAGATATTTTACCTAGATCAATAAAATTTATCATGAACAATTAAAGACAAGGCTGAATGACAAAACTAACACGAAATTCCTGGAAATGAATATCATTTACAACAAAATGTCTATACATTATATGTATTGTATAGGGATATGTTGAAGCTAGACACGGGGAAATATGAATGAATAATGATGAGATCAGTAAGGTGGGTGAGTATTTGTGAGTGTAATAGGTGGCTGTGATGAAATGAGAATATCATTAGATTTAATGATGAAGTCGGAGTGTAAGATCATTACACAGGTGATATATATCTAGAAGAGGTGATTACATTATTGGTGATGCTCAGAAAACTACAGGTACTGATTTGGTACACTGTATGCATACATCACAAATTGCTGTGAAGTAAAAGGAATTATATGAATTTGGAAGTTTTGTCATAAGGCATTGAATACTGACAGTGTGTTATATGATTGGCAATGAGCAGTGAGTGTA